GCCGCGCCCGACCGCTTCATTTGTAATTTAAAGTGAGCCTCGATTGCCCAATGCGTTCTACGTACTTATTTTCGAAACACACTCGCGCGAGCGTACCGAATCCCACTCCACCCGCGCACGAACTGTGCCGAAAATTCTTATAGCACGGCGGCAGCCTGCCGCGAACGGAAGTTCTGATCGCGATCGCGCCCGGCCACTTTCGTGCCGGGAGACCCTCATGTCGGAAGTGCGTTACTTTCGTTCTGTGTTCATGTCTTCCGCCGGTGATGTTCAATCAACTGAATATTTCTGTGTTTAAGACTAAAGACGAAATCGCACGATTCGTAGATAGTAATTTAAAAAATCGATACAAAATGTATTACCTACTTGCATTTTTTATTAAATCTAAGATTCACGACAATTACGATAAAAAGATAATTAGTTTTTCTTTGTTGCATTATCATATGACTTAAAAGATATTATATCAAAACGTAATTATCAAAAATTTACATAGCTATCACATATTAAAGATTTTTATTAATGTTTGTTTTATTCTATTTAGTAAATGGCGTAATAGCTTCGTGAAGATATAACTATCAACGAAGACGACTATATTTCTCACATTAATAAATTTCGTCGGATATACTGAAACGGTCGGGTCGCGTAGGATATCTCTTTAAGAAGAGTGGGAGATGTATTTCGACGGTCCATCGCGTCGCCACAAAGAAAGTTATCGCGCGCGTGGCGTCACACGTGCGACAAAGGTCACTCGATTTTTCCACCATCGCCGGCCGGCCGACCTATTGGCTAACTTTTTTCACGCGATCCACCCTCGTCGCAGGCGCGTTGGAAGAGACGCGGATAGGGTGGACACGATGGGGGTGGGTGTGGGACGCGACCGGACGCGTCGCGGCGCTACGTGACGCTTCTTTCTTTGCTCCTTTCTTGTTCGCCGGTGCCGTTTCAATTGCCGAGGAAAAAGAGAGACGAAAAGAAAAAAGGACGGACGCGCTGTTGCGTCGTCTCGGACGAATCATAAGAGGCAGAGTGGAAGAAAAAAAGGGGTCGCGCTTCCCCACCCTCTGGACTCATACTTCCACGTGTACACCACGTGGAAAAAAGGACGAGGCCAGCGTAAAAAAGCGGCGCGTGGGGGTTGTCGCACTGGTGGGAGGGGGTTGCGAGTCGAGTCGGCCGAGAAAGGGAGAGAGAAAAGGATGTAGAAAAGAGTGCCGGGTGGCGTACGCGCGAGACTCAGCTAGGAAAACCGACGGCGGAGAGAAGGACAGACGAAAGAGCGAGCGTGGAGGGGAAAGACGTTAACAGAGAAGGGAGGAATAGGAGTCTAATGCGATGGTGGGGCAGGTACGTTAGATGAGAGCTCGGCAGGGAACAGGGATGGTAAAGAAGGGTAGGAAACGGGATGGTTTGGTTGTCTACTTCGGCGAGGAGGATGCGTAAGACAAGCAGGATGACCATCCCGACGATCCGCCAACGTGAAATAAGCATCAACGCGTCCACTGGAAAGTCGACGTCCTCTGCAAGGTCGATGATCCATGCTTAAATCGCGATTTGACTTACGAAACACGAAACGAAAGGCGAATTGTGGAAACGCAGGGTGACTCGGATATATTCGGATGTGTTTTCCCGATTGATTAATTCTTTGATTGATGAAACTCGGCGCGTTTCACCAAAGACAATCGCGCGCGAGCCGCCACGTAACTTGGGCCGATCCGTAAATACAGAGGGATAAAAAAGAAAACCTTGCCCCACTCCCCCACGATATAGTTAGTCACGCGTGCGTTGCCATACGGGACACGAGGGAGGAGGCCATTTTTATACGACGGTTCCCCTTCTTTTTATTCCTAGTATACCTCAGACTGTTACACCCCCTTACACAGAAGCTCCCTACAACTTTTCGGTCAGTCGAATATTCCGTTTCGTGACGTTCGCATGTCTCACCGGAACTTATATAGATATATATATATACATATATATATCTTGCTCTTAAACTAGAATTCTTGAGTGGGAGTATCGCAAAAAGAGAGGAGTTGAAGTGAGTTTGCGCGACAAGGATGATTCGCGGCGAGCGAGCGAAAAGTTTTCAAGGACGAGCTCTTACCGAAAAGAGCCAACGGTCCGAGAGCTCGTACTGACCCCGCGTATTTACGTGCGTCGGAACGTAACCGCGGAGCGCGTAAGACAGCGATCGCGAGATAGACAAAGACAGATAATCGGTTCTTACGAACCCCTTTCGTTCTCTCCTCGCCGGGAGGGTTTTCTTGGCCGGGCGAAACGGAGACGGAGAGCGCGCGGCCCCACTCTCTTTCTCTCACCCCTTACGACGCTTTACCCCCGGTGCGAGGCGTCGGCGGAGTCGGTGGCGGAGAATCCCCCACCCACCCATCTCGGCGCGGGGTGAAGAGAGAGACGAGTTTGAGGAAAAGGGGGAGATAGAGCGCGCGCCTCGCCGACGTGTCTGGTGGGGGCAAAGGAAAAGAGGGGTGGCTTGAAAACTCCTGTCCTACGGCGTCCTCAGTTTTTCGTCCTGCCGGAGGTAGATTTTCGTCGTGGGTGGACGCGGCCGGGGTCACGAGTCGGTCCACGGCCACCTGGGCCCGCGCCCGGGTCCGTCGGACCCGCGTACGACGTCGCCTCGGTAAGAAACGGCTTACGGCGAAGGCGCCTCGAGGTGGCCAGAAATTTCGCGGCCGCGCACCACCTAAGACAACGCCCCTACCCGAACACGCGTTCTTTAAGGCACGAGGGGGTGGCTTTTAGTCAGACGCACGCGGTCTGAGAAGCGCGCCACCACCGGCCCCCGACGGAGAAGGACTTAGCGTTTCTCGCGAGCCGCAGACCCGAGTCAGTTTCGGTTCCTCCTCCGTCAAGGACTCGAACGCGGAAGAGGAGAGAGCTTTTTCCCCCGTCGTACGTCGCCGTCGTAGTCATCGTCGTCTTCGTCGTCGCGAGTCGTCGTCGTCGTCGTTACCGCCGTCGTCCTTCGAAGAGGAAGAACAGTGTCTTGGCTGATACCGTGCACGAAGGTCGCGAGCAGCTAAGAGCCGAGGTGCAGCGATCATATTACGCGTATTACCGATCATCGTCGACCGCCGCCGCTCTGCCCACTTGCCGTCCGCACTTGAATATATCTCCAGTAAGGAATCCTCCAGTAAGGATTCTTTTTCTATCGTGACACAGCCTGTTTCGTCGATCTTGTGTCTTAAAAGTTTTATGTGAACGTACGACTTTGCGCGTGTACGTACTACCCGTGTACATACTGATTCGCCGCGCGCCTGTTGTTTTCTTCTTTTTCTTCTTATTTTAGTCAATTTTCCCCACTTTCGGCCCAGATCACCACTGACCCTCCCCCTCCTATTCGCAGTTCCGAATCCTGACATGCCCGGTACGTCATCGTCGCCGTCTCGACAGTGTTTCGTTGCGATCGCACACACCTCGATCTCGTCTTGAATCACCGGGGTGATATCATGTGCTTCGGTAAGACCGCGGGAAAACTCAGGAGATGAAAACGGAGATAAAAAGAGGATGAAAAGAAAAGTATCTTTTCCCGATCGCTTCTTCGCAACTTGTCGAACTCGCGAAGAGTCGTCACGCGAGCAATCTTGATTTCTTGTGGATTGCGGAATTACAAGTGAACGCTAAACGTGACGAATCGTTATGTCGCCACTAATCGAGTTAGCAATTATGCGAATATTCGTGCGTGATCATTCCGAATCGTTAATTCAGCAGGCAGGCGACAATGTTCGTCACGTCACGTAAGCCTGACGCACATGTCGCAACAAATTATTCGGTACTACAGTGACATCGTGTCAGCCCCCTCTTCATTGTTTAGTGACAGATCCGCGAAAAAGTCCGACCGCGTGTTAGAAAATAATTGGACGAAGTAGTGCCGCAAACGCATTTTCAATCTCGCGTACAAAAACAATAATTTTTCAGATATCTGATCGCAAAAGCAATTTTGTTCGTGTAAATGGCAGTGCACAGTGGAACATCGCGTTTTCCCTCCCAGTGATGTTATTGACACATAAATTGCACTTTATGTTACGTTTCTCTGACAATACTCAGTGTTCTTGCTGTTAATGTTTGCCATATTCACTGTGTTTGGATTTTATGTTTATTTGTGTATTATGTATTTTTTATACATTAACATTTCACTATTATTTCTAAATACCTATTTGATTTTTATCGATATATTTCAATTTTTCACACTTTTCCCTACGTCTTTTCCTGTATTTTTTTACGCGTTTGACGTTACTTCCTGATTTCATGTCAGTGGTGATTATCACCGTGCGACGGCAAAAGACATTTGCGCTATCGATCAATTTTCCTAAAACGCGAATTAATCTAAAAAAATTCAAGTCGACGAGAGCTATTGCGTAGCATAAAGGAGAGCGTGAATTTGTGTAATGTTAAATTATCGACACAAGAGCTGGATGTGTCAACTGGACAAAATTTACCGTGCCGCGTAATTAGTGCGTGCTTCTGACAGTGCTGGTTGAAATTATTGTTTGTGTCGCGTCCGGAAGTGTAACCCTTCATAAACGTCAGTCGAAAGAGAGTTGCGTTTAACGTTACACGCCATAAGATCGTAAAACCTTTGAAGTTGTAACGTCTCTTCCCTATTTATTAGAATTTTTTTTCAATTTGCGATTCTCTTCTTTTATCACGTCATCGCGTTGATTCGGCATTCTTTGTTATTTTTTCCGTGACAGCTGATTTTAAACAGTGTCAACTGACAGAAACCGTGTTTTTAAATGCCGTCGTCGTTCTCGCGTAACGTGTCTGATTGACAATATTGCCGTGATGTGAATTTTGTGACAGATTTGAAAAATTTCTTAAGAGAAATATTTAGATATATTTTTATCAACAAATTTTCGCGAACAATCACTTGTGAAACAGTTGTCTAAGTGACGAGAGATAATCGTGTTGATGTAACGAACGTAAGTTGCGTGTGAACGGCGAATAACGCAAAAAATGTATTCTCTTTTTCTGGATTGCAGCTTCGAGCGGGAGACGCGTTGCAGCGAGAGATTCCCGCGCAGGAGAGGAAGACTGGACAAAGCGGAAGAAGCAGAATAAGACGAGCAAAGCAGAAGCGGAGGAGCAGAAGAACGCAAGAAGATCGAGAGCCGAACGAGTAAAAGCGGGGTTGCAAAGAAGAAAGTGATTAGCGAGTTGATCGCGCGAAAGACATCGAGAAGGAAAAGATCAAGAGCAGTTACGGAAGCGCAAAGATACGGAAGAAGAAGATCGAGAGGAAGAAAGAAAAGAGCGAGTATCGGTAAAAAGCTCGAACAGCGAGAACCCCGCGTTGCATACATATATATTTCAGTGTGTTCAAAAACGAGTGTACCTAAGTGCAATATTAATTAAACCTAAACGATAATAAGAAGCAACCACAACTACCATCGACGATATCGGTAACGACGAGCGGTGATCGATAATCGAATAGAATTCCTTTTAAAGAGTTAAAACGCTAGAGTCGCATTTCGAGGAGGAGTCATCGACGGACGCGACGAATCCGCTTTGGAAGAAGAGAATCGGAGGAAGTAGGCGGAAGCAGAAACGGAGTGACGGAAATCCCGGAAATAAACGCTCTCGTCCCGCTTAAAAAGAAATCACACACCGACTCAAAGACGCGCGCGGCAGCGGACACCAACTTTATCTCGAAGCTGTTCCGAGCGCGTTTTCACACATCACGCACCACACACAACACGCACGCACATTCAACATAACGGGGCTAAAATACTCAGGGCAAAACGGGACGAGCGATAATCATCCGCGAGTGCGATTTCTCACCCCGAAGAGGAGCGAAAGCCCTTCCGACCGATATCCGATTCGCGTCCGCGTGGACTATCCTTCTCGTTCACACCGTCCGGGCTGGGCAATCCTGAATTTTAACCTGAACTTAAGTGTACGATAGAGTTTAAGTTTAGATAGACGAAGGAAAATAGATCGTTCTCCTATTTGCTGGAGGACGTTCGCTCGCGCGCGCAACAACTCACGTGAAGCACACGCATAAAAGCCACACCACACGTGTAATAACCACACATCACACACACACACACATACACACACACACACACACGCACACGCTACACACAGAGGAAGGGGAAAGAAGAAAAAAAGACGAGAAAGAAGAAAAGAAGAAAGAAGAGAGAAGAAAAACAGGACCATCGAACAAACCGTGTAAACGCGAACGAACGTATATACGACGCAACAACGATCTGCGTACATCACGATAAAAACAAAAAAAAAAAACGCATTACGAGCGTAAAATCATCGATTGGCGGTGCACCCGTGAGAAGCATCGCGACTGACAAATAAGGGGAAGCGCGATAGAGAAGAAAAGATCTGGGAGAGGACCCGGAAGAGGGAGTGAAGAAATCATAAGAGGAAGTTTGATGAGCCAGGCGGTAGGTAGCAGAGCCGGGAAGTCGCAGCAGGTGGCGAGTAACTGACGTTGCCCGCCGCCCACGTCGAAGCTCGGCACGGCGCGAGGATCGTTATCGTTACGACGATCCCGTGGCTGAAAGCAGCGGCCGAGCGAGGAGAAAGATAGGAAGGAACGGCGGCGAGCGCAGAGGTGTGCCGGCCGTCGAGCTGCTTACCGGAAGGGGTGCGAAAAAGCGGGCAAGCTGCGCCGGAAGGGGGTAGCCCGGGCTTCTCGCGAAGGCCTCAAAATTTCGGACGCGACGGCGGCCCTGGACCTGCGTGCCCAGACGCAAGCCCAACCAGACTTCGGCCAATTAGACCACCAGCAGCCGCAGCATCACCATCAACAGCAGCCGCCGCAGCAGCAACAGCAACAACCGCAACAACAACAGCAGCCGCAACATCCGCAGCAGCAACAGAACCAAAATCCAGAGTCGCGTACCCACCATCACTTGCAGCAACAGCATCATCATCAACATCATCCAGGAAATCATCTCCACTCTGGCGATTCGGGGGGTGGGATAGGAGGAGGAGGAGGAGGAGGCGGCGGCGGCGGTGGTGGCGGTGGCGGCGGAAGTGGCGGTGGCGGAGCTGGCGGCGGCGGCGCCGGAAGCGCCGGTGGCGTTGCTGTTGTTGCTGGTGGAGGACCGCCAGGATCCGAGTCGGACCGATCCACGAGGATTCACGACGAGGAGGAAGAGGATATTACCGAACGTGAGGACGAGGAAGAGGACGAGGATCCCTGTAGTTCGCCGGAGCCCGACCTTGAAAACGAGACCGAACCCATGGAGATCCAGGCTTCGGCTGTTACCGCAGCCGCGAATCTACACGCGCTGCGCCAGCATGTATTCAAAATGTCGGACTACTGGCAGCAACCTCAGCGTGGTCCGCCTCAACATTCGCCCGGAATACAGCACAGTCCTATCTCAAATTCGACGCAGCAACATCAGCAGCAGGTCCAGCAAATGCACAGTCCGCTCGGTCAGCAGCAGCAGCAGCAGCAGCAACAACAGCAGCAGCAGCAGCAGACCGCGGTGTCGCAGGTGCAACAGAGTGCGAACGCGACTCTCGGTCAAACCGCGAGCCCACAACAGCAGATGCAGCAGCAGCAGCAACAACAGCACGCGCTGTCGATGAACCAGACCAATCAGGGCCCGCAGCATCAGTCTTCCCCCGCACCGACGACCCCGTCGCCGCAAGCGGACCATCAGAGCGCCATAGCCTCCAGCATGGCCCAGAGTTTGCACAGTTTGGCGCAAGCACAGCAGACCATGTCGCAAGCGTCGAGCCCGTCGCTCGCGGTCCAGGCCGTCCAGGCGGCTCAGGCGCTCAATCAGAATCTGGGCCAGGCGCTCACTCAGGCGCTCACGCAGAACATGCAACAGAACCTCGGACAGACTCTGCAACACAATCTCGCGCAAAGTCTGACGCCGAATCTGTCGCCGCAGCAGCAGCAACAACTGTTGAATCAACCGCAGAATCTGAGCCAGGCCAGTCAGAGCCTGCAGCAGAACATCCAAAGCCAGGCGCAGAATCTGTCTCAAACGCTGCAGCAGCAGGCACAGAATCTTACGCAAAACCTCGGCCAGGCGCTTAACCAACAGGCGCTGCAACAACAAGCGCAGAATCTCACGCAGAATCTGCAGCAGCAGGCGCAAAATCTCACGCAGAACCTTCAACAGCAAGCACTCAATATGGCTGGGACCATCGCGCAGAACGGCGGTCTCGCCGGTATGAACATGTCGGGCAATCAGCAGCAGAACTCGCAGAATTCGATGCTGAGCCCGGGCGCGACCAGTCAGGACTCCCACGACGCCACGCTCACGGAGAAGCTCGTCAACGAGCTGCAGGTGAGAAGCCGCGGAGCAAGAACCGAACGGCGGGATTCTCTCTCTGAGTTTTGCGCGTTCGTTTGCGAACCGCAAAAACTTGGAGAGTCTCCTCCGGTTGCACACGCACACAAACACGCATATATTCATAGACACATATTATTGCGGCGCGTCTCTTTTTCTATTATTTTCCGCTCGCGTAAATGCACTCTTCGTGCGCGCGCGCGAGAGAGAGAAAGAGAGAAAAAGAGAAATGGACGAGTCGCGAACGTATCCACGCTGCGAAGAGAGCAGTGATAAATAAGTAGGGCGAGGCGACCGCGATAAAAATATATAACGCACCGATAAATAGGGTCATTCACTCACGCAGGCCGCCAGACGCCGGACAATACTTTCGAGCGAGGTTTCTCCTCGCGGGGAAAAATATTTATTCAACGACGCGCTGTTGACGACTCTGTGTCGACGAGACCCTAAGTATCGCGAGATATCGCGGTTCCTTCTGCGTGTCAGTGTCGTCTCTCGTGCGTAAATATGCGCGCTTTTATGAATGCCTCTCGCGATACATCTCGTCATTTCTCTCACGTAAGAATCGGCCAGTAAATATATAACGTTACTTATACGTCATTTTCGTAAACAAATTTCGTATCGAGCGTTACTTTCAATTTCACGTCAAGTAACGTCGACTCGCAAATATAACATTCGTTCACGGAAAACTAGAGAAATATCCGAGTTGAGCCGGAAAAACAAGCGCGATGGCTTTTACGTTAATCTAACGTCGTCTTTAGCGTTACGGAATCACATGTCATCGACAATTTCGTCGATTTGATTCCGCGACTGTAGCCAGATACGCTGACCACGGTTTGCAAACACATACAGACACACATGCGTGCGCACACATCCACATCAGCTGGGTACGTTGACTTAGCACATCGTAGTGACTTACACGCGTACTCGTATACATGAAAGAGAGAGAAAGAGAGAGAGAGAGAGAGAGAGAACGTGTACATGCGTGTGCGATTGAGTCAGAGTGAGTGGGAGAGAAAGCGTGAGAGAGAGAAAGAGAGAGAGACAGAGAGAGTAAGAGAGCGAGAGTGAGAGAGCGAGAGCGGGAGAGCACGCACACGTCAAAGTAGCAATGCAGTCCGCAAATGCGAACGCGGCCCACGCACACCAATGCGGGGAGATGCAGATACGTCGTCTCTCGGGGTTCTTGACCCGCGCAACACAGATAATACCATACGCATACGTCATACGGTACGCCGGGAAGATGTTACCAAGAAAATATCGCGTCGTGTTTCTGCGTCGGCATGGGCCGCGGAGTCTCGATACCATGAGAAAACGAGCGAGCGAGAGAGTGAGTGAGTGAGAGAGTGAGTGAGTGAGTGAGTGAGTGAGTGAGTGAGTGAGTGAGTGAGTGAGTGAGTGAGTGAATGAGAGAGAGAGAGAATGAGAGAGACGAAAACTCACACCACGCGTATCTCCTGACAGATAGCGGAACCGTAAGATCGCGTTAACGAGCATCGGCGATCCGTAATTAGCAAGAGACAGTAAATGTCGTCTGTTTTCATCATCTCGCGAATATGTACACTAGATTTGAAACAGCGTATCAGTATTATCGTAAAGAATTTTTATTCGTATTTTTTAATAATCGTTCTGCAAGTATCGATAGTAATTTATACTCAATCGTCTTAAAAAAAATTTCTTATTTTGTTATGCCGTTTTTTCGACACTTATCATCGTCGAAACGAAAGAGATCGCTCTTTCTTCCCGAAAGATCCAAAGTAGTTCTGCGAAAAACAGAAGTTTTGTAATAGAGACGGTTAGTAACGCCACGAGGACGATGAGGATCGGGGACTAACATGAGCTATCCTATCTTGCTTGAATAGTCTCGTGCTTCTGCAGCGGGGCTTGGAGGTGCAGTAGGTGCCGGCGGTGGTGGAGGAATGGGCAACATCAGCGAACGCACCCTCGAGGAATGCTGGTCCACCCTGCAGCGAGTGAGTTGAACACTCAGCCCGTTCAAAAAACAATTCATTTTATTATTACCGCCTTTGCCCAAAGCGCCTTGTCTCACACACGCACCTTATAAGTTTATTGAGCTTTTTTTTCAATCGATATCATCGACAGCCGAGATTTCTCGATTTTATTTTAGTTGTTATTATTATTTCATATCCTGCACGTATACGTCGCAGAAACGCATTGTCCCGTTCGTTGACAGCACAATTTTTCGTTTGTCGACACACTCTCAGCGCGATTCAATTCGTTGTTATTTTGCCTCGCATTAATTTCGCTTCCGTGCGAAAATCACTCGGCATTTTGTCTGTGTTGCATTCCCGTTCGCTTTGCTCACTCATTACATGTTATACTTGGTTATTTTTATGCTGCGTTAATTTTTTTTTTTTTTTTTTTTGTCTCTACCTGCTGTGGCATGTGTCGTTCTTTTGTGTATCGCCGTTTCGTTTTTTTATATCTCGTCGGCTGAATGTGTCGCCTTGTTTCTGTGCATTGTGAAATAGTCTTTTACTTATACTCATAACTGACCGCCAGCGGCGGTTCGAACGATCCTCGTTCTCGCTCGCGCTCGTACCTTAACGAGCTCGTACCTTAACGGCCGCGCCGTTGCAGTACACTAAAGATTTAACGAATGTCGCGCAATTTGCGCGGCAAAATGCACGTTGTCGTTTAGCAAGCGATCTTTTGTGTAACAAATGTGACGACGAAACAGCGAGGCCTTCCAAACGATTGATTACAATTGCGTTTTCCGCGCGTCTTATCAAACTCCGCGTCTCGCGCGATTTTGCGCCAACATCGCGAGCAGCACAATAAATAGGAAGTGCCGGAAGAGTACCGGAAAAGAAAGCGGCACTAACGAGCTCCGAATTACGTTAAACTGTCGTCCGACGAATAAGGAGCGGGAGAAGGTCTCGGCACGAAGAAAAAGAGGAATAGCGCGGTAAAAAGGTAGAATACTCGCCAACCCCCTGCGACGAAACTTTAAAATTCTCATCCTCCCGCGACGAAACAACAATTTGTTTCGTTAAGTAGCCACAGCGCTCTTTTGTTTTTGCGGCTTCTTTTATTTTCGCGGCGATATAGCGTCAGAGTGACGGCAGAAAAGGTAACAGGAGGCGGAAGGGGGTGGTGAGCGAGGAGGAATGGGTTGCTCGGGCACTCGTCCTCCTGCCGTGTTCTACCTCGTCCTTCCTTTTCTTCCATCGCCACCTTAAAAGCTACGCCGCGCGCGAGAAGCGAAACTTTCGGAAAATCGCAAAAACGTCGGACGATGGTGAAGTTTCCACGTTTCCCCGAGATTTAATTAAAACATTCGCCGCCTTTGTGCCGTCCCCACGCGTTCTCTTCGTGGACCACCGAGCCGTCAAAGCGAGCCATCGTTCTCTCGTTCTGTCTCACGTGACAAAAACTGATACATACTTTTGTGTCACAATTGAATCTTGAGCTTTATTCCTTAACGTTCACTGATAATTTGCCACGCAGATTTTTTTTTTATCACTTGTTGCTGGCACGTATTAATAATTCAAAACTAGTGAAACAGGTTACCGGAACATGTTACAAAAAATGTATCAATTCGTAAAGCCACATGAATACGAGAACGACATGGCGTTTTATGAAAAAATGATCAAAAGTGTCACATGCTTTAACTGGAAATTGGATTTAATCGAGTCGCGCGCAAATGTTAGTTAATTAAAGATAACTAAAAATAATAGATGAGCGCGCGTTCACAGCCGCGTTGTCTCCAACAATGGCACTCTTGCATTAAAAAAAAAAGTTTGAAATACTTGAGGATGTATTGTGAGCTCGTGGGAAATAAAGGGTTATGCGGAGATCCAAGAGGGAAGAGCTGACGCCGCAATATTACATAAACATTCGCGACAGAACGGTTCTCAGGACCGGGGGTGAGCACACCCGCGTTTTTTTGTTCTATCTCGAAAATTAAAATCCAATTATTTCAACGCCTCTGCCCGACTCGGGTCGGTCGATTCAAATGAATTTTTTGCTCGCGCTTCTCCCCAATTCGCTCTTTCAACGCGCGTCAAACCGGTTTGTTTTCGGCGCAACGACCAAGTAGTCGCATCCAGACTATGATCCTCCCTTGATCGATTCGTGACCATAGTTTTGGATCGAGCCGGCAGCTGCCGAAAGGAGCTAGAACCAAAGAGAGAAAAGGATGAGGGGAAAGAAAGAAAATCTTAGAGAGCTTCTAACGGATGCAAATTGTTGCGACATCTTGTTATTGCGTTCGAAGACTCACGCGCGTTTGAATAACTTACATCAGTCTTCGAGTTATCGCGCGACGACAAAAATAGTTTTTGGAAAATTCATTAAACAACAAACTTGGCTCGGCTTAATTAAAATAGAAAGCGAAAAAGGACCGGCGCGAGAAATTTAATAACTTGAAAATCATTTTCGATCATTATCGGATCGACAGATTTCTAATTATTGTAAGATGTAACAGAGGAAATTACTAAAATGTAAGAGCGCACGGAGCACGGAGTCGCGAACAATAATGTTTAAAGATTTAATCGTCAACGGCGAGGCGATGTAACGGGAAGGAGGGGACGATCAAATAATGAGTACGCTTTTCTCGCCCCTCTCGCTATGATAGCAAGAAAGAAAAACACGGTATTATCTATTTACCGGCGTGCATCTCTCCGTTCCGGCATACGAATCCCAAGGAGTCTTTCTCACGTTACGGTCCCTCGGAGAGAAACTTTTTTTTGCCTTCTTACATGCCCGGAAGGTTCCCGTGTAATATTTAAATAACGGTTCTCGCGCGCGTGTCATTGTTTCACCGTTCCTTCTCTCTTTCTGTGCGAGTAACCCTTCTGGTTACCGAGGAGAAGCGGGGAGAAGGAAGGGGGAGATTGTTCTGTTTCGAGTCGAGGAAGAAAACCGAAAGCGCAGATGGCGGGAGGGGAGGAAAGGGGGTCAAGTTCCGTGTCGGATAGCCGTTATGGCAAAGACAGAATTACGACGTCTCAAGACGAGGGGTGCGCCTCCTCCCTCCTCCCTCTCCTTCTCCGTTTCACCTCTCTCCTCCCCGTTCGCCCGGTCCCGAGCGGATCGTCACGGAGAGTTTCTTGGCTTTTCAGTAATTTTCTATGATTTTCGGATCGCATGATCGGCAACAATAACGCGTGCGGCCTCTTTGAAATCGGCTTAATCGAATGAATTCGATCGCTCGCAAAAGCCGATGAATCCGAAAGAACGACGAGCAATAATGACACGAGAGTGATCATTGCTGAAATTTAATTTTCCCGGGAAAGCAGAATATCTGTTTACGAAAAGCTTCGTTTTAAAGTACAAAGATTTTCAAAAGAAATCTCACTTTATGTGACTACATAAAGTAAAACTTAAGTATCTCGCAACGAAAGATCTTCGTCAACAAAATTAATTAGCAGAACGATACGCAAAATTCGTGATCTCCATATTTGCGGAATTAACGTTCAGTCTTTTATGATTTTCTCTTTCACGTGTAATCGAATCCGCGCAAATGCATTTTACGAGAGCGGACTGCGTCAAAGGAGAACGAATGCCGTTCACAGCCGCAAATGACATGTCAAAACTTTACAATCGGTACAAAGAGTCGTCGTTCGCGAGCGAAAGAAGGTGGAAGACGCGCGTCGCGACGACGCGGCGCAACGCGCACACGCGGCGTGTGCACACGGTTCTTTCCTCTCTCACTTTTCTCCCCTTTCCCCCGGTCTTTCGTATATACGCGGCTTCGCCATGACCTACCCCAAACAAACCACGAGAAAAAGAGGGAAGAGAAGCGGGCGGTGAGGTTCGAAGGCGAAGGTGGTAAAGAAGGGAAGAGTGCAGGAAGGTTCTCGGCGGAGAGAAAAAGAGAAAGAAAGAGAGGAAAAAGTGGAGGTGGTGGAGGAGGAGAAAGACCGGAAGACAGAAAGAGACGACAAGAGAAGATGGAAGAGAGTGCATTCGCGCCCACACACGCCCGAGAAGTTGCAACACGCGGATGACAAGGAGGAGAGCCCGTGTACGAGAGAAGGAAGAGGGCTCGAAGGAGAAACAGAGAGGGAAGGTACGCGGAACGGAGTTTATTCTTCGTGCTTTTTTTATCGTACGTTGACTCCGCGCGCGCGCACGCTCCTCTACAAGCCGCGGCGAGAGAGCAGCGCGCTGCTCCACGATAAGATTGCACTCTTATATTGCAGAAGCGGTTGGGGAGAAAGAGACGGAAGAAAGAGAGAAAAACCTCCGTTCCCCACGACAGAGCGAAATCCGCCCGCGCACGCCATGCGTACCCGCCGCTTTATATTACGTTTCAGCGTATGTATATATCGGAGCGCTATCGCGGAAATATCTCAACGCGGTAGGTTGCTCGAGGAGGTTTCGCGGGAAATCGAATCGGCGCGAGGCTAAATCTCACCACGGAGTGTCGCCGCGAATTTTTACGGAAATTCGCACGACGTATGGAAGCGAAACACGCGGTGACACGTGTTGCGCGATTATCGTCGAAACCGAAATAGGCGAGCTATTTCAGAAGCGGCCATTTATTTTTAATGACGCATCTATATACGTCGACAGTGCTGCGGCATTTCTGCGTCGATTTTCCATATTGTACGAAGAAAAAAAAACACAAGACGAGGCGAAACAAAAGACGTACGCGAGTGTAGATATGGCAGAACACGCTCTTCACTGCGCGATAATAGACGAAACTTTTCCGCTATGGTGGCCCACGCGAATATTTGTTGCGGACAATTATGTCAATTAGCGGCACGTATTCGCGCGCGAGATGTATACCGGCGAATTCGTTATTGAGCGGGGAATGCGAGTCCGCGCGAAACTCGCCGCGAGCGAGTCAAGGCGACGACGAAACACACACACTTTGCCGAGGTGACTGACCCCGAAGGTTCCCATAATGCATGCGCGATTATAGGGCAGTACCGAAGGATCTCCGCACTGTTTTCGATCTTGATGCCGAGGCGATATTGTTCAATACGCGCGTCACAGTATT